TTTACCATGCTGGGGGGGGGGGGGGTGAATTGGCTTGGATAGCGCAATGCGTTTTTTGTTATTTGCTGGTTCATTATATGAATATAAGATTAGGTAATTATTTGTCGCGACCGTATTCACCCTTTACCCGGAAATAATGGGTCTGGCGCTGCGGGGTAATCTGAAATAAGTAAATATTACCGAGTACTTAAATAATCGACCCCCCCCCTTCCCCATCGTTAGCAATTTAAAATTCAGCGACCTTTCTTTAGACATATCCAAAATCCACTCGTCTTTTTCTTTTCAATTGCAGTCAGATTATCGCATTTCCTGACCATCATGGGTGCATCGGTACTCTCCGTGTTGCTTCTACTGAATGGTACGTTACACACAAGCCGTGCAATCGTCTTGAGAAACACAGCCGCCCGACGAGAGAATAAAAATGCATGACTTCACATTTTGCAGCATCTGTAACAGACTGGTCCAATGATAAAAATCAAGATACAAGTGATGGCAAAAAAGATCGTGAGTTTTAAAAGTCGGAAAGTTCTTCATTATAATTTGCAGATTTGTTGCTATGACTTTGTTATTACACTTTAGGAATCTATAGAACCAATTGCGAAAGTTTTAAAAAGTTTTTTTTTTCACCCGGAAGTTGAACACTTAAAATAACATTACTTGACAGGCGATTAAGCGAGAGTCGGCGCACTATACTTTTCTACGAGCCCTTCAGGAACCCGAGTTTTGTGTCCAGTTCTAAAATAATTTCACAAAAACGCGAGAACTGATTCATGATTGTCTCGAAGTCACATGGCATTCAGTATGTGGTTAAATTTGTTTAACCTCTATTTGTAACCACCGCCAATACTGTAATCGCAGCATTACATTTCACCTAGGGTGACCTCTTTAGGCTAAAACGTATATTAGAACGAATTTAGTAACACATACACCACGAACGGTGGCTTTGCAAACACTCTTAATATTCAGTGTTGTCCAAAAGCATATTATACACCTGCCAACTGTATTGCCTGCCATAGTGTCGAACCGAAACTCTTATGGGTTCTGTTACTGTTCGGGTTCGCGGCTTTCAGTTCAGTTCCGGTTCAGCTCCAGGGATCAAAACTAATGGTTGAAACCGGTTTGCACCGCTAACTTGAGAATATAGTTTCCACGTTGTTTTGGCAATGGACACTATTTCCGCCTTGCAACGAGTAACTATATACAGTTTTTTTGTTTTTTTTTTAACTTTACAGATTTTTAAAAAATACACCGTGAAAGCTACTCTTATGCGGTTTGCGCAGGTGAGTTACACGGCCAAGGGGACATAAGAGAAGAGCCTTATCGTAACAATCCGTTAGCTAGTTAGGTAACATTTGCTAATTAACTTTTTAATTAGTGGAAATAAACATATAGTAGTTGGAAACTTGCTGAGCGTTATCGAAAACTACAAAATCACTCACTACTAGAAAGAATTTGAGCGCGTGAGAGCCGCAGTAGGGCGCTAAACTTACCCCTCGTGCAGCAGAAGCAAGGCTACCGGTGAGATAAGGCGCCTGTGCGATTTTTCCTGCTCTTATCTCAGAGCCCGGCCGTGTACCTGCTGCACGAGTTGTATTTTTAGGGCAGTACTTTGCTTCAAATGCGCAGAAAGTATTTCTAAAAATGATTCATTTAGTGGTTTGCGATGAAGCTCAGCAAGTTACTTCTTGGAGCCATATGTCGTTTTTCACTAAATGAAAAGTTAACGAACGAACTTTACTTAGTTAGCCGACTGATCGTTATGGGGAGTTCCATATACTATGTCCCCCTAGCCGTATAACTCACCTGCATAAAAGGCATGAATGTAGCAGTCACGGCTTTTTTAAACAAATTTATAAAGCTTTAAAATAGCTACAGGAAGAACCATTGTGACACGGATTCTTAGTGAATGCTTTAGGGTGACCCTTTGATACTCCACACACGTCGCCTTTTGGGAAACGCCAACCCAGACCCCTTCACTTTTCTCTTTTGCATTTCTCTTTTGCTTTATCTAGTTCTTGCTGCCTTTTTCTTTGGCCTCGTGAGGGGGCCATCGTTAGAGTTTCCTAAATGGGGATGTGCATGACGTTTCCCAAGATCAGTGCTAACGGATTCTCTAAAAATCCGTCATTGAATGATCCTGCAATATTTCTGACTCTGTGCAGTTCTCTATTTGTCAAACTACGTCGATTCATTCAGATGCGGTCATTCATATTATTCGTGGAAAATGACACATTCCTACCACTCTTGGAAGGAACCCCCTTCATATCACTCGCGAAGGAAATCGCATCCATGGTTTTAACTGGACACACATCACGGCCCACGCACCGCTCCTACGAAAACCCAAAGCGAAAAACATCCAGCGACGGTTGAGCGGCAATTCCAACGTGCCGCGCCGCAACACTTCTGAGATAACAAGGACGTAGTGCTCAATGAGATGGCATCATAAGAGAAGGCCAATGCTGGACAGAGATCGAAGTCGAGCGCTGGCGTGTCCTCGTTTCCAATCTGTGTGCCACGTTGACCTTCTCTGATGGTACCATCTCATTCAGCACTACGGCTCTGTTATCTTGGATGTGTTGCGCTGCGCCCCCTCCTCTGTGTCTCAGCGCCGGCAGAGCGCGTGACTTTGACGAAATGAAAGGGCCGGTTTTGACGAAAACCCGGTGGTGTCTGTTAGTTTCCCAGACTCGGGAGAGAGGGAAGGGGTGATGCGTGCTGGACGTCAGCACTACGGAGCGGCGCACGCGTCACCCTCTCCTCCTCCTTCTTTCTCCGGCGCTGAAAAAAAAAAAGACACCGCTCGGCTTTTGTCTAGACGTGCGTTGCAATACTTACGCATTAAAACACCCTGTTGTTGCGTTGGTGAGGGTGACGACCTCAGGTGCGGAAGCAAGAGTCGGGGCTGTGGCTCACTGCCAGCATTGCCCCGAGGAAACAGGCCTGGAGTTGGAGTACTCAAGAGAACTTTTATATAGAGTGAATATACAAGTAGCGTGGTCGACTGGTTAATCGGCAATCGGCGATTTCGGGCTCCCCATTCCCAAGTTATATAGCCCATCCGAGGGCGAGAACGCCCTCTGATAGAGAGGAGCTTTCCCCGGTATTCGAGTGTTCACGAGGTGTCCGAAGTGCGGGGGCGGCTGATGCAATTTCCGGGTGTTCTTTCAGCGAGGAGCAGATGATGTAATTCCCTCGACGTTCTTGCCGCGCTCCGGTGGCTGATGTAAAGAGTCGACGTTCTTGCTGACACCCAACACCGACAAACCCACACACACACAGGCACGCACACGCACGTCGGTGTTTCTCCTTGCGAGGGCCCGCGATTCCAGATGGTCTCGTGGCTTCAGCAAGACGTTCTTTTTGAGTTTAAAGCCTCCAGCGAAGGCCGTCGCAACAGTCCCTCCGCCGTCCGAAAGTCGGTCCCGAAGAGAAGGGGTCAGCAGCCTCTCCTTTGAGGGACCGTAGAAGTGCCGACGATGAGGTGCATCACCGCCTCCTGCTTTTCTTGAGTGCCGCGCCTTCTCTCCGCTCACATCCAAGCGCTTGAAGCAGCTTGCGAAAAATCTTGAGAGGATGAGAACATTGATCCAAGACCACACTGCAAATGCGCATTTAGCAAACCCCTTCAAACACACACCAGGCACTAAAAGGTATGAAAATCGCTCTTAGCAAGATTACAAATAAAACGAAACTCCTACCAGGGCTCGGCACCCGCAAGAAAGCAACAAAAGGCACGAAAGTAAAATCTATAGTATCGCAGCTTGTGTACAATTGTTTAGCAAAATAAAGTAAAATTTTGGTATCCATGAGCTCGCTCAGTAAATACGTTTCTCTACTCACTCATGAGCGTCGGCTCAAGCCATCTGTGTTGGTGTGCAGTTTACCCTTCTTGTACCTGACCTCAAAAGAAAACTGTTGCAAAGCTAGGCTCCAGCGAAGTAGTCGGCCATTTTTGGGTGACATATTCTGCAACCATTGAAGGGAATAATGGTCCGTCTCGATGATAAATCTCGAGCCTGCCACATAGCCCGAAAGCGTTTGCACGGCCCACACCAAGCAAGCGCACTCTTTTTCTGAAGCGCTGTAGGCTTCTTCGCGAGTTGTCAGCTTTCGACTGACGCACAAGATGGGATGCTTCTCACCTAAGTCGTCCCTCAGGCTTAGTACGACCCCAAGACCGCGGTTGCTGGCGTCGCACTGAATGATAAACGTGCGCTCATAATCTGGCGCCCTCAGAACTGGTTTGCTCCTCAGAGACTGCTGCAAAGAGCGAAAAGCCTGCTCTTTTCGATCATTCCAACGAACTTCTTGAGGCTCTATCTTTCGGAGGGCGTCAGTGAGTGGGCTAGCAACATCCGAATAATTTGGGATGTAGTGTTGGTAGTATCCTGCAATGCCTACACTGTTAAAAAAAGTGCCGTTATATTACAGAACCGTACTGCGCTAACTCATGATGCCAGACATTATCTGTAACCCTCCGTAATACCACCAAAGCCGTAGCTGACAGTTTACATTATCATTTCTGTACAGCAGATATACAGCAATAGAAGCGCAGTACGCAAGTACAGGACTAAAGCCGCAAACTTAGCTCCAGGTATCCAAGCCGTCGAGTGTTCAGACGGTATTGAAGGCGTAAGGGAAGGGTACGGTTTCAGTCCCGTATTTTCATACTGCACTTCCATTGCCGTATTGTAACGGTAACAGTTCAGTTACCGTACCCTTCCCTTACGCCTTCAATACCGTCGGAACGCTTGACGGCTTGCACACCTCAAGTTTAGTTTGCAGCTTTAATCCCGTACTTGCGTACTGCACTTCTATCGCTGTGTGCTCGCTGTACGGTAACAATAATGTGAACTCTCAGCTACGGCCTTGGTAGTATTACGGAGGGTTACAGATAACGTCTGGCATCATGAGTTAGCGCAGTACAGTTCCGTAATATAACGACAAATCCTTATAAACAAGTGTAGTGTGTCTGAAAAAAGGGACAAGACAAAACGGAGGCAGTTTTGAAATTGAAGAACTATATTGTAAACCGTAAAAGAACATAATTATAAAGAAACCTTCATGGCATCCGATCGATCATCAGATGAGCTGTAAATAAAACAAATTCATATTCAGATGATTGAAAAGGCTACGGGAGGACCACAACCACTTGCACAATTTGCAGAGGCGCACGCACATGAAGTCACAAAAACCTGTACAGCAGGGGCTCCCAAGCTCACAGAGCGATGCTCTAAGCCTCTGGTAGCAGCGCGCAAAAACACAAGGACAAAGGGAGGAAATGCACAAGGCCAGCGCTGAACTTCAACTAAATGTTTAATGAAAAGGAAACACCGAAGTCCTGTGCATTCGTCCCTTTGTCCGTGTGTTTTTGCATGCTGCTACCAGTTATAATCATGCACCAACTCGCCTGTGCATTGCCACATTGAGCCACTCAGCACCATGACAGATCAAGGGTGCTGCCCTCGACCCCTGTGAATGCAGTGTTGTGCCGCCATTTGCTTTTCTTTTTAATACAAGACAAGACTGGAAACCTTTTGATACCACATCATACACATTCCAAATCAAATATGTACTCACACTGTTCCATTTTTTCTCAAAAGCAGCAAGATCTGTGGCGGCTTTGATTGCTCTTGCCCGAGCTCCTTTCGACCTCCCGGCCTCCTGTCGTGACCCATCATGTTGTTTGATACCAACCTGGTATCTGAAACAAATAGCAGATTGGCCCATAAGTATTTGGTCAGAAACCAGACAAGTGAAAAAAAATTGCAGTGAAGGATTTGGGATCAGTACTTGCTGATATTTTACATGCACAACTAATGTCGAAAGCCCTAAGCTTTGCCACCAAAGTCACATAGGTGCACAGTTCAAATGTATAAGTGTGTTGAAGGTTCCTGAAATAACAATTAAGCCATAACAAGCTGAGCAAAACCTACATCTAGGCCAGCAGACTGTGCACTGTGCACTTAAAGAAAATATGTCAAGGTACAAATTCATGCCTAGATTTTGAGGAAAATAAAACAATGAGGGAACAACAAAAAAATATTGTAATAATGTGTCATTTTTCTGACAGAGGAGAAAATCTGGCACTCAAGGCTTCCCTCACTCAGATGCGATGGGGATACAGAACTCGGAATATTTCAGAAGTTATCAGCCCCATGTGGCACATCTTAAGGGGTAGGATTCATATATGTAACTTTTAGAACTACAAAACACTAAAAACATGTTGATTTAAAAAGATATTGAACAGACAGCGATGTAATTGATTTGAGTCATTTGGGAGAAGTTTTGGAAGCAAACAAAAGTAAATTTTATAGCAGCGACATAAACAGAAGAACAAGTACATACTTCGCGCCAGGGATGGGCAGTATTTCAAATACAAGTATTTGAACTACGTATTTAAAATACTTTGTGTATTTTGCATTTGTATTTAATTAAAAATTCTGTAATGTATTTGATGTGTGTATTTAAATACTAAAACGTGTGTATTTCAAATACAATTGTAATTAAATACAATTTTGTGGGCGAAAATACATCCCTCAAATTTATTGTCACTGTCCAGAGCAGGAAGAAAACTACGTTCTGCACCGAATGCAGTGTCTCTCAATCAAGCACAAGCGTTTTGTGACTTTGTAATTACGATGCTAGTCCAGGGAAAGAATAGTGACGAAATCGACGTTCACAGGCAGACTGGCTAAATAAGTGACAGTGACAACTTGTGATGCTTTCCAGCCTGATTTCCATCCATACTTTTGCCTCGAACATTCTAAATGCGCGGGTCATCCAGATGTTTGTAACTGGTGCGAGTTGCAACAATAAAAAAATCTGTAGCTAGTGCTGCGCGTCTTGGTCGTCTCGGTCCTTTGATTGTCTATACCAAAATGTAATAAAAAAAAAAAAAAAAACTGCTTGAAGCTCTGTACTTTTTTCACCTATTACGTCCAAGCTGATTACATTTTTTTTTGTGATTATATTTGTATTACGTTACTAGAGCCTCGAGCACTAACTCCCGAGTGTGCGATGCAAAATTAAAATGAGATACCCAGAAACCTGTTGCAGGTGCCCTGAAGTCGCTGACGCAAATTTTAAGGAATGTATTTGGAAAAGTATTTGGAAGAGACCAACTACTTTTCTGTCTGTATTTGTATCTTGTACTTAAATACTTTTTTGCAAAAGTAATTAGATTTGTAATTAAATACATTTTTGACGAAGCATTTTGTATTTGTATTTCGATACATATTTGCATGTATTTTGCCCATCCCTGCTTCATGCTTATTTCTTTTATTACAATACAGCATTAAAATTTGTCTGTTGTCCTACAGTCACAAAGCAGTTCCTCCTCTGCATTTCTACTCGTAATTAAGCAAGCACTCATTTGCATAATTAGTATTGCAGACAGTTGAATGACCTAAAATACTCAACTAGCTGTTAATGATTGCTTAAAAGCACCAGACATGGCAAAAGGAATGTTGTAAGAGAATCATTCTCTTTTTTTAGGAAGCCACATTTTGGCCAGCCACTGTCGAAAGAACATACGATTGATAAACATGTATAAAGACGAGAAAAAGGTATTCAGGTACAAAATCAAACATGAACCACATGCTACTAAAACATGCAGAAATAAAGCTTCAAAAAGTTGTGAAAAGGTTGTATATCAGTCAAATTTAGTTATGAATTAGATGAATTAGAGATCATCTGCACATATCACTTCTAGACACTTTTAGAGTGATACAGAATAGTGTGGTGCAGTAAAGAAACTCTTAAATAAATAATTAGATGAGTATATTAAACATATTTTGAGGCTCCAATTTGTTTCCAGCCAAAAATAATTTAATGATGTATACTGCTTATGACTCTGCCTTCTAACTGAATGCCAAATAGAATTATAAGTAAATGACACATTCAGTAAAGATAAAACAATAGGAATAGTAGATATATTGACATATTTATTTGTGATTTCTGGGATAGGATCAAACATAGTCACATTGTAACATTAGGTAAAATTTTTAAATCGAATTATTATGCAAGATATAACAACCTTTAAAGTAACTGAAGAGTGTGTTGGTAAAATTCACAGACCACAGAAAGAACAAAACATACCCGGACGAAGGACGACAAACATTTCTTTTAATTAACAACATGAATGAGCTTAAAAGCACTTCCTTCAATTCAGACCGCCAAGGAAACTGAGAGAAAGGGAGGCAGAAAGAGAGAAAGGTAAGTGTCAAAAATTGTAAGGAAGGAAATAAGAAAAAGAGTGAAGTAACAGCATGAGTTACAATTCTAACTTTACACTTTCCTTTTTATCTTCCTGCCTCCCTTTCTCTCCATTTTCTTGGCAGTCTGAATTGCACGGAGTGCTCTTAAGTTCATTCCTGTTGTTCTTAGTTGAAAGAAATGTTTGTCGTCTCCTTCGTCCCGAGCACGTTTTATTCATTCTGTGGTCCAAGAATACAACACCCTATTGCGGTTTAATAATGGACTCTGAAATCGAGCTTGGAAATGTGGGTAGCCAGTGACAAATTAAAGGGCAACTCTACTCAATTTAGAAAATTTCAAGATAGTGGATGACCTTACTTTGAAAAGCACTCATGAACAACTCTACATTGTTTCACGAAAAGTAGAATATTGTTTGTGCAACTTTGCTATTTATAACTCAAGTCGCAAATTGAAACCGAAACTTCGGCAAAGGGCAAGCAGCGACGTCAGTTGCATGCACACTCATGTCCATGGCAGATGCATGATTACGTGATTTACCCCACTCACTGGGTCAACTCTAGGTAGTGTTGTCTGAACTGACTGGACATGTGATGGCGTTGAAAGAGAAAAAAGCCGGTGTATACAACAGACATCAACATGACGTCACATCTGAAGGAAGTGCCAAAGTTGGCTAGCCTGCACATCGCTCGCTAAAATTAGCAGATTAGCGCTTGTCAAACTTTGAGGGTCCAATTTTATATACAGAAAGATTTCAGTTGTAGCCTTCCTAGATGATTATAAAGACTACTAATCGTTTTCTCAGCCAAAATTCAGCAGAGTTGCTCTTTATTGCCTCTCATGAGGCTCAAAATTATGAAGGAAATAAACCATACCTCTGAATGAACTCAAGTGTGGTTCCCACACCTTTGGCATACTGGATGTTTAAACAATAATAAAGGGCGAAAAGGAGCTCCACAGCTTGCAGAAAGCCCACATCTTCCACCATCACCTCATGGTCCACAAACAGCTGGCAGCTGCATTCGAAAAGTGAGCGGCCTAGGAAAGAAACAAGCGATTAATGTAATTAATGCGGAGAAAATGTGTTAGTATCAGATGTATCGACCGATCTAGTCAAGTGACCAGAAAAGTCATGCGACCGACACCACTACGCCGGCTTTTTCTCTAATAGGGCTTTTAACGCTCACGCATTAAATGAAGAAAAAAATACCATTGTCATATTCGCATCTGGAAACTTCTATAGAGGTATTACCAGCAGGGACACTGAATAGGTAGGCACACCGATATAGGATTGTGACGCATATCTGAGATCTGAGACTGAGATGCATCACAATCACAGATAAGGCACACCTTATATGCCAAGCCAAATAAGGGTCGCACTAAATAGTGTTGAGCTACCATACCCAGTAATGACATTAAGTTATGCAAAGTGCTCCTGAAGGTTTGAACAAAACAAAAAATTTGTATATGAGCATGTAGAATCAAACACTTTTTGTTGAGTTTGTGAACAGAATCAGTAGCATGGAAGTCTGATGCCAACGTGCAATGCCAGTCGTCGGTTTCGTTTAAATTGCTTTAGCTAGAAATTAAATGACCGGAGACCGCATGCGACCACACATTCTACGAGCAGAAAATTTGGCTGTTTGGGTTGGACAAGACACAGAATGCAGGTCCAAACAATCAAATGCCTCACAGGCACCTGCTGTTTGGGCTGTATGCCGTTTTGTGGCACCTTCACTCACAAATTAAAATAAAAACTTCTCTTTTTCTTGCTGGATCAATCAAACATTGATTGTCAAAGTATGGTATAATACCAGGACATGTGCTTTACATTGGTGCTTGATAAGGCTGCCGAAACCAAACAATGTGGTCGTCTATCTAGCTCTGGTCAAAATCGGCACACCACCCTTTGGTTACACCACTGCAGTATTCCAGCACTCTGGTTACACCACTACAGTATCCCACTACAATTGAGTCACTAGGAGTCATCTGCACTGACCCCTCTTCTCTCTCTCACTCTCAAAATGGCACTACCCACGATAAAACGGTCTAGGTTGTTGTTCCAAAATTCAACACAAATTAAAAAAGAAAGCACCTTCAAAAATACAAAGCATGCAAGGAAAAGACACATGAAGCTCACCCAGTGCAACAATTACAGGAGAAGCAGGCAGACTGTTACGAAACTCCTCTGTGATTTCTGTTGTCACCTAAGAAAAGTCAGAAAACATGTGTGGTTAATTGAGAAATGCACGAAATGCTAGTGAAGGTACCATACATCTATGGGTCTATATTTATTCCCACAGAATGTAGAACTGTGAGACACAAGCAAGACGACGTAAGGCGGATCGCAAAGAATGATGCCCGAAGAACTTATCGTGGCCGGCGACTTTACCGCAGATGCACGAATATGGGGATACAAGCGAGACAATGACAGAGAGTGCAATGTCTTCACACCCGCCAAGCAGGCCAATCTATGAATTCTCAAAGAAAAACAGACTGCCATTCGCATTGGCAAACGTCGCACTGAGAACGACACCACAAGACTTGACATGGGCCATACACAACATCCAAGCCCGAGTGCGAACTGCTCCGACGCCTTGGGAAGCAAGCACCTACCCGTCGAAATAGAATTAATGACAGAAAGACACCCCAACACTAAATGACAGATCAGCTTCATTAACCTAGCACCTGAAAAAGTGTCTAGGTGAGCTAATAATGAAAGCCACATCCACTCAGAAGTACCAAGCCAAACAAGACGACCCAGACCCCGACCTTCATCTCCTCAACTTGTGTGCTATCAGACTGCAAGCCCAACAATGTTACAGGAGAAATAAGGACTGAAAACTCCAAGCCAATTTCAATGCAAGCACGGTGAAGATAAAAAATACACCCAGAAGCTCCGTAAACAACTGAGGTGCAAGCTCCGAGATAACACACGACGAGTGTGGGGCACATTCAAAGGACTCTGGCAGGAAGGCCGACAACTTTAAATCCACTGCTTCCTGGTACACCAAACCATTCCCAAGTAAATAAAACAGTGTCTGCCGCCGCATGCGAGTTCCTGTCTTCCCTTATCCTTACTATCCTTGGTGACAACAGCGCCGCCTTCATTTAAAAAGACACAAAGGATCCCCTATTCTCCCAGGAAGCCAAACAACAGGCCCACTGAAAACACCTCACGGCTCTACTCAAAGAAGACTTAGACCCACTCCCAGATGGTAATTATACCAGGTGGGAAGAGGTTCGCCTGAAAAGACAACGGACCCACACCACTATGGTTTCCAAGGAAACAGCAAAATGTAACACCCACAAGAACATGGTGCATAAGCCGCCATACACAGGAAAAAGACAAGAGCCTATGCGCCCACTGCGAGGTCACAGTCACAGAAGCGCACTCCTGGTACTGCCCACACATGCAAGAACCCCAAACCTTGAAAGAGTCTGTTAACCCCACGGGTATTCGGGAATACCAAAAAGCTATTCTCCATTCACCCCTCGCTTATGTGAAAAAGGTTCGTCTCACCCACTTTATTTTCATCTCACCCTTATTTCCTTTAACCCTTCATCCCACCTACAGGAGATAGCGTTTGCTGAGATCAAAGGATGCGGTTCCTGTTATTTTCTCACTAATAAGGACATTTTTAACTACAAACATTTGTTGTCCTAACGCTCAATAACAACTAAAAAACAACGTTAAATAAGCAGCAATGTATCTGCTGATGATATCTGTCACAAAGCCTCATTGTTACACCTGCGGGACAAGGAAGCTGCTAATATTAAAAACAAATGATCCTAACTTAGGAGTCGAAGTGGAAGTACAAACGTTTGTCACTAGTTAATTCTCTAGCATAATTTTTGTGTTAACTCTAACACTCGATCCCAAAAATGCAAAACATCATGTGAACCCATTAGAAGCAAGTGGTACAAGAGTGGGTGCCCACCGCCACTCCCCCTTTGGTTTAGTGAAATATTTATGTAGAACATACTATAAGATGACCCAGCCTAGAGTTGCATATCTTCCCATTGCACTCTAATGTGAAGTATAATTAGTTGAGCCACCTCAGCCAGGAAAAGATTAAGGAAGGTTTGGCTCCTCGTAGAGCAATAGTAATTTCACTTTTTACGTGCTCATTATCAGCATTGCCGTCAGATACCAAGAAAGCGTTCACAAAGATTTTGCAGACAATTCTGAAAAAGTGGGGGGATGGTCGCTCAGAAAGCGAAACTGCAGAAAGAGTACAAGGCATTGCTCCAATGGTTAAAAATCACTAGGTAGGCGCCTATTCGGATATAGGTGCATGACCGGTATGTTACGGTATACAGGAAGACTGATATAGCTGAAAATTTCAAAAAATGAAGAAAAGTTTAGTATTTCCAGATGCATAGTTTCTCAGTGGAATGCTGACTGCCTGAGTGAGACTTCCAGGAAGTTATTTTCAACAAGGTCATGAGGATGTGTCTTTGGAAACAAATAACCTGGTTATTATGAATGCTCCTACCTGATGTAACTGGAAGAGCTCTCCGAGGTTTTCTTGAAAGTAGGATGCAAGCAATGGGAGGAGGCAGACAGCTGCTGCGTTTTGATCTTTGAACTCTGCCTCGGCCTTGTTGATTTTGAGGCTCCACTCGAGCACAGCATCATTTTTGGGGCTTGAACATAGGAATGCCACGAGGAGGAGGACATCTTTGGGCAGGCTCAATGTTCCGTCCATACAGACACCTGTAAGCCTTAAAAAATTCATGTTATCACTGACTCCTCATATCCAAAATCTTTGTAATCAAAATACCTTTTTGGGAAAAGCAAAATATTGAAGGAAAGAAATCTGCAAGGACCACTGTATGGTGAAAGTAGCAATCGTATTCGTCGTTCAAAGCACCTTTTTATGAGCATAATAGTGTATGTTTGTTTTAGGAGTGAGTGACTCTTGCAAAGAACTGAACATATTCTGCCTTTTTAAAAAGGAAAGAGTCTTGATCTAAGTGAGTGGGATCCACATCATCAATGACTGAAGGCACTTCACTCTCAACGTCTGGTTTTTCCCTAATGTTCTCCAGACCATTGTCATCCTTGCTACAGCATGACGTCACTATTTCATCCTGCTCTACTGGCTCTGTCACCACTGATTTTTTTTTTCCATTCCCATGGCATATGGAAAGATGGGTCATGAGTGAACCCCATGTCCTAAGCTGGCTATCACACGCATCAATTGGACAAGTTACAACAGTTGGCGGGTTGCCGGTGAATGTTTTTAGAGGTGCTCGATAAAAGCCTTTCCAGGGCTCACCTCTTCACTGCAGGAACTAACACTGCATGTCCGGCAGGATTGGAAGTTAGTTGCATTACGAGGTGCAAGCGGAGAATGACACCTTGTGATGTGGCTTCGCAATGAGTTGTAATTTTTGAATGCAGCCTCACAGCCGACAACGCTGCATGGAACACCTCTTGATGATGTTTCATGATATAATGTGTGCTTGAAGAACGTGTCCAATGATGTAAACTTTTTCTGGCATCTTTTGCAGTGATGTCTCATCTATAACCAAAAAGGAGTGCTTGGTTTATTTCAAGTTGATTTAATATTGAACATGTTTGTTGGGACCCTGAGAAATACAATATCCTAAGACGACATGAGAGCTGAACAATTTGGCTTTCTTTTTTCGGATAGAAGGTCTACTTTAAGTCCCAAGATCTGCAAAAAAACATTTTTCTCTCCACGATTTTGTACTTAAACACGTGATCTTTGCATTTTTATAAAGGTACCTGAAACATTACCAATATTCGAAGCAATCATGGCGAAGTCCTAATCCAAAGATATTAATCCTTGACCCCAAATTTTTTTATTCCTGCCACAACTGAAGTCAGTGAACATTAAATCAACTGTGCTTGTGAAGATAATGACACACAGCATAAACATACACCTATCTAGAAATTAACACAGTAAGGATTATAAAGCACTTAACGTGAGCTTTCATCAAGTTTCAAAACTAACATTGTGTTTAAACTGAAGTACAAAACAGCCATCCTCAATGTTCTGTGTTAATCTGAAGGCAATGTTTCTATTTACACCAGAAAGATAGAACACCTGCACCTGCCTGTCTACACCTGCAGCGTGCGTGTCGTCTTGTCGTCCAGTCTTAACATACAAAACTATGTTTCCGTGTTCTTTTAGGTTGCCCGAGCCATGAGGAGCTACAGTCTAGCATGCTAACATTGGGCAGTGATATGAATGGCCGCAGTAATTGTCATGTGAAACGTTCGGCTAGGTTTTCGCTTCTGTGCATCTAGCTTGAGAGGTCAGGTGAACAGAGCTCGGCTGGAATGGTATAGCGCCTTGTCATTCATAGCTTGAGCAGTGCAATGAAAGCCAGGACGACGCAGCGCTATTTGATTTAAACTGCTGCCAAGGGCAAGGGAAAGGAACATGGAAAGGAGTAAGTAAACAACGCTGGCAAGGGAAATTCCTCCTCTCCTTGCCAGCTATCCATCTGCTTCCTCCACTCCCACCTTCCTTTCCCTAGCATTTCGCGCTGGACTTACTGTTTTTTTTTTTCTTGCTCTTTTCCATTTTTTGTTTGCGTTGCAGTCTACCGCGAAAATGTTTCACGCTAACGCCCCGCAATTGCACAGTAATGTGACACATTTTTTTTACCACCTTTTGGGGCAGAAAATTGGTTTTCTAGATATGTGGGCCGGCTTGCATGAAGCAGAGTCTCGGTTGAGAATGCTCAAAGAAAGCGCTGTCAAGGCTAGTGCTAGAGCTTAAACCGAGTCCTAGACGCTCGCGCGCCCGAGCCTTGGCAGCGCTTTCTTTGAGCAGTCTCAACCGAGACGCTGTCTCTTGCAAGCCGGCCCAGGCACCTAGTTTGTTCTCCTTTCTACCTCAAATACTACAATAAGGCAGATGACTTAACTCCAACTATAAGGCAACATATCTCTCTTTTTTTTTTTTTTCCACTGCTGGCAGCCACTTATTACGGTGCAGTTACCAAATCATTTCTTGCCCAATTTCATTTTCTTTTTCTCTAAACACACGACGCGCTTCGTGCACCCCGCTGTGCTGAGACCGTTTCTTCTCTGAACAGAGCTGCGCCGCGGCAAAATGTTAAGGCTGAAACACATTTACAAGAAAAGAAACCGAATATAGAACGGAAATCGGAGGGTGCAAAAATTGTTGCACGCAAATTTGGGAGACAAGTTACACGAGAAGACTGATCCCGCGCAAAAGGCAACGTCCTCCGCAGTAAAATTAATGCAAACAACACCAAACGTGCACTCATATATATATATATATATATATATATATATATATATATATATATATATATATATATATATATATATGACGCCGTGATTAGGACTTGACAGATTCATCGGATAAAAAGAGACTGGCTGTATCAGCTTTGGTTTTCGAAGCAACCGAGGCCTTCACGCACCGGTACAAAGACTGCTATTACAACAGATAAAGTAAACAGAAGCAACGTGCGGAAACCAGTGTGCGTATGCCACCGGTCACGACATCCTTCTACAGCCACACGCTTGCCTCGTTCTTATTCACGAAGTTCCTGGTAGATTAATTCGTTCTTACATGCATGGAGTCAGCCACAATCGGCGCTCGATGTTTAGTTGAGATGTGCACCGACACGAGCATCGGCCGACGTACAGTCGGGAGCAAAAGTTTGCGGGGCACGGGAGCGCCTGCCGAAAAGACTGGCTGCGCCTTCTCACGCACGTTGCTGCTCCAAGACTCACGCTATGCGCACTCGCTTCCTTTCTTGTTCGCGGTCATGCTTTTTTCGCTCGCTTCCGTTCGACACGCACGATATATAACTGGGACTGGCGCAAGGTGCCGCGAAATGTTATCTGTAGCATGCGCGGGTTTCGTCACCCACCACGGTGGCTGAGGCAGACGCGCGGCGTGAGGGCTGTCATAGCGGCACCTTGCGCCGGTCCCCGGTTATCTCGTGCACGTCGGGCGGAAGCGAGCGAAAAAGTCATGGCTTCGAGCACGAAAGGAAGCACATTCTCGAAGCGTGAATCTTGAGAGCGGCCGCGCGCCGCAGAAGGCGCAACCAGTCATTTCGGCTGACGCTCCCGCGCCCCGCAAACTTTTACCGCCGACTGTACACGAGCAAACTCACCGCGATCTTGCTTTGCCCGAATGCCACAACACAGCGAACAGCCCACATAATTCTCAGTCTCCGCAATGCTCCGTTCACCACATACACGTAACACGACAAAGATCGGCGAAAATCAGTCTTCGTACAAAGCTGATCAAAAACCGCGGAAACACTCAACCAGCCTCGGCGGCTGCCGCGGCTGCGCCATAGCGTAGAAAACCCGGACAGGGACGGAACGGACGGAACTCCCGAAGTAACGTTGCGACATCGCTCCGTCCCCCTCCGAGTTTCCCCGCCGAAAAAAAAAAAAAAAAAAAAAAAGGCAATAGGAGTTGCTGTCTGATTTTCGTTTGCGATTTCTTCATACAATTTGGCCGTTTTTCGCAAATGTGTTTCAGTCATGACTCATTACGTAGAGTCCGGCGCCGTCGCTACACAGTAGCGCACCAAGGAATGGAGAAAACTAAACTCAACAAACTCAAAAAAAAAAAAAAAAAAAAGACCGCGGACTTAAAGACGTACTGCAAAGCATCTGAGTACTGGCAGTGTTAGACACGAAGGTCGAATCGATCAATATAAAGTTTCCTAAATCCACACAAGTCTACCGTAACAATATGAGAGTGCACGGAAGCTAAATGTCGGCTCGGCACAAACGAACAAAAAAAAAGGAATTTTGGCACTAGTTTTTTACACTTCGGTCAAACGTATATAGTATATTATTGTGGGCACTTGAAACCTCATTGCACTGTGTCGCTTTGCATGTTTCGAAACAAATTGCACCTGAACAGCACGTTATGTCGAACAAGCAGCTACCGAAAAAATCGGCGTGCATGGTCCTCGAACCGGACCAGGGACCTCTGCCTTTCCAGCGGAGCGCTAATCCAAGAGCGTTTCACGTAGCCGAATAATATTTAACTAAGAAGGGAGCAAGAAAAACGTAGAACACCGACACACTACGTCTCGTGATAATGCTAGAGTAACACTCGAAAGCAACAAGGCAAAGACCCCGTTACCCTAAACGCTACGCACCTCCAGCGCGAGGCGCACATCGTCTGCACACGCTTGTGGCGAGCAATGCATAATAGTGAATCCAGACAACTGCTCGACTCATCTAAGAAAACAGTGGTGCGACAGGTATTCATCAAACAGTTCAAGGAAGGGGATGTAATGCACTTACCGTGAAATCTCCAGGTTTGAGTGGGGCGAACCAAAAACACGTCCACAAAGTCGCCGAATTGCGCGGGATCTGCCTCGACACGCTCACTGCGCATGCGCCAGGGGTGCCTTCACGCGGACAGCGTCCCACGGGAGCGCGGGAAAGAAGTTCACGCGACCTTCCGCCTCTCCGAATAAAAGGCTGCATTGACTGCGCCTGCGCAGCGCGCCGGCTATGTCTGTTCGTTCGGGTGCGGTGGAGGGGTTTACGGCGAAACGGCAACGACGGCTCGCGAGCGGCTCTGGTCCCGTTGGCGCTCCCTGTAATTTTACGGTTTTTTTTAACAGTGTAGGAAAGACTTAATGTCTATTTTTTGTGAGCAGTTGAGGAAACTCCTCGATGGCTACAAGCTTTACCTCGGACGGTGGGCGGCAACCGCGACCCAT